TATTTGCATTATCTTTAAATAGGTCTGCTGTGGAACGACACACAGAATCAACTCTGACTTGTTTCATATACTAAATTTGAGCTGTGCAAAAGAAGAATACCCACTGAGCTCATTTAAAACGATTTAACTGCCTGGAAAACAAAAATCAATCCTCAAAGATTTTCCAGCCAAACCCGTTAGAATGTTGGGTGATCATTTCAGGGGCATTGTCGAGCCATATTGGAAAACAAGGTAAATGATACGCAATCGACAGTAGCACCTTTCAGTCCTAACTAATATACTGAATGGCCTAATGTGATTACGAGGCTGACAGCAGGCGCCGGTCGCTCGATTGTTAAAAAATCACCGTAATTTCAGCTATCTTTATCATAGATTGCTCATTGAACTCTTTCGTGTTTACCAGCTCGTCTATGGTATTATACTTTTTAACTCTCGGATTATGCTATTGACTGACAATCATCCTACTGTTCTGATGAAACGACTTTATAGCTTTATTGGTTACTCAGACGCATCTATTTATTCCAGCTATACTACCGAATGGAAATTTAATTTCACTGTTTGAAAAATGTTTTCCGACTGGTTCTTTTTCCGTTTCCGCTTATTGATCCTTTTCAATCTGATCTGCTTTTCCTCTTCCGATGTAATCAGTCAACGTTTGTTTTTCGTCGTTGGAACAAGTCCGAATTTGGCGCTAGCCCCGCCAACAACGGAATTTCTCCAAGATTTTTAACCAGCAGTAATAAGTTGGCGTGTCGCCAGGGGCGTTGTAAAAATCTCGGTTCGTTTGCTCCTTTTTTGTTCCACGCGAGCCTTCAATCCTCTAAACGTCACCCGATTTCAACATGGATATGGAGATATATAAACGAAAAGACTAGCTGCCTCGTGTCGTCATTTCAAGCCATGCTACAAGTCGTCACGATACGTGGTACAATAAAGTGCCAGGGAAAGAAAGAGCTCTATCGGATTGATGCCCGTTCGAATACGCTTCGCGCAGTTTGTCTATCGGTCGGCGTTTGATATTAGGGTTCTTCGATCTCCTGCTTGTCTAGCTGGGTTCTTTGACTCGGTTAGTTATTTGGAAGCCGTTACCCAGCGTATTTGCGCCAGCTCAACACCGACTACTCGGTGGCTGCTGGTTTGTAGACTTGCCATGGTAGTATTGTTGGGCCCTTCCTGTTTTCCTATATTTGCTCCCAATAGCTGGACGACTCCGCGAACTGTCTTCGAAAATACAGCAGTGGCGACCACACTTTCGACTTCAGCACCAGCTTCATCTTCTTCTCCTATTACACTTCAATAGGAAAAAGCCCGTCGCCAAGTGACCTAGTGAAGTGCACCGACGATGACGGGGGGAGAAAAGAGAGCGACGTCAAACCAGCGTGTTGCGGTGGCTACAGTAACCCCAGCAGCCACAAGTCATAACAGCCAGCTTCAGAATCGAACTGACTGCAATACCGTCTGCTAAAACCACTATAGCACCGATGGGGTGAAAGGGAAAGGGGGAGAGGGCTCGTGCGGGTGTCTATTTATTTGCTTGTCTATATGTGTGTATGTACCTACGTCTGCATGTGCGAACGACACGACCGTCGTTCTGTTAACGTCTTCGGCGGCCCCGCAGGCCCCGAACATGTTAGAATGATGGCGATAACAACAACGACGACGACGACGACGACGATGATGATAGTAATGCGGACGGTAATCGCAACTCCGGCTGACGATGAGCGAAAACGTAACGTACAACGGAATCGAGCCTGACCGACGAGGCAGCTACGGCAACGGCGAGTGAACGGTTTGTTTGGTGAGTCATGGGCTTGCCGAACAGACGCCTGTTGGTGGACACCGAACGTAAGAAGCACTAGTGGCTCATAGGCCAATGTTGAAACTCCAATCAGTCTGTGCAGCTTACTGCGAAGAAGAAGCACCTAAACCGGACGGAAAAGCCAGTCAGCAGCAATAACGCAGTTCAAATGATGACTGACTTCTTAGCTGACTTCGTTTACTGTAGAGGAACAGCTGCATCTGCGAGGAGGATCGACAGAGGCGGCCACAGCTGCGACAGGGTGTCGTAGGAGGGTAAGGGCACACGCGTTCCGACCACTGTTTCCAAGTCGGCTTCGAGCTGTGAACGATTCTGCGCTCTGCACAAGCAACTGTTTCGGTAGCAGTAATAGCCGAACGCACAACTGAGATACTGACGCTCGACGTAGCGACGGAACGAATAAATCGGTCTGCACTGCATTCAGGTTTAAAAGCGTTATACTGACTGTCGTGTGGCGTCGCATTTATTGGCGCAACGAAGTGCGGCCGCACTTCGCGCACTAACCCATGTGGAATATGTACTCGTGTGCAGATCGCAGATTATAATTGCTTGAGGGGTTTGTTATTATATTTCCGTTAAGGATTCACAGAGTGCGCGAGAGCAGGCATAGAGTACGCCTGAAAAAAAGCCTGCTTGAAAAGGCAAACATCTTTTGGCGTTGTAAAGACGCCAAGAAAGCTGTGCCTTGATAACCTTTTGCGTTTTGCCGTGAATTCTGTGCTAGTAGTTCTCAATCGTGTGTTCCAGTGTTCCGCAGAGTTTGTACAGCTCTATATTTAGGATTTACCAAGGATACTCAGAATAACCGGCGTTAACAAATGGATACGGTAAGTTCATGATAAAGCCAATATGTTCCTCGTTGTGTTTCTCTTTGTCTAGTCTACGTTCATTGTTTGCAAACATGATACAGTCAGCTAGACTAATAATAATTTTAAGTGACCAGACCGACCAAGAAGCAAGCAGGAAGACATCCCACAGAACTCTATAGATGCAGTTATACTAGCAAAGGCGAGGAAGATGTCTGGAGCTCAGAGACGCTACGAAAATATTACGATCAGTTACAGTTCTCAAGAATCGCTGCCGCACTTCACAGCAGTATAATTTTTACCTGTACTACGATAACTTCATTCAACAGACAACTTCATTCTTACTAGCGGGGAAAGCTTTCTGCCGCATCTGCCAGCATAAAGCTCTAAATCGATTGATATCTTATCCATCCCTGATATAGATCACAGTTATATCTCGAAAGCCGAAAAACTTCGGCCCACTACCGCCAGCGGGAAGCATTGGTTTGTCGTGAATGCTTCTCCCACGTGTAGAACGTCCAGGTGCTATCTATTTCTCGACATAGTTTACAATAGCTGGCCTTTTTCGAAGCCATAGTTGATGGAGTTGGCATATGTTATTCAATAAATGGCGTCATACTGCCGTGCTAAATGGCCGTCGTCAGAGAAGCGCTTCCTTATCGTGCGTCAAAAAAGAGACCCTGGAAACTGGCCAATATCATTTATTGCCGGCGATTTACGTAACTATTTTCATGTGCCCCAGTTCTGCAATACTGATAATTTTAGCCGCAACAATATTCAAGGGGCAAACGAAATTTTCTCGTTGAATTGGACTGGCGGAGCCCATACGACCTGATAAATTAATCTGATTAGATAATGAGCTGATTTCGGCATTGGTAGCCCTTCCTTTCCTCACCAAAATGTTAATCTGCCTTCTTCCATCAGGAACAGTAATACAAATTTTAGATGATATATACCGTCAAACATTCGCAATAGGGCTTGGGAGCAGTATCTGACAGATCTTCATATTTAGATCAAGGCAAATGTAGCCCCAAGGAGCTGGTGCATGACACTTCTACTGAGGTAAAAATAGTCCACTCATGGTAAAAAAGCTAACGTAATTTTTATGTACATATGCCCGCTAATAGGGCCAATAAGCTACAGAACGAATAATTCACAAAATACAGCTTAAATGATAGCAAAAGGGCCTCCCTATCGTACGATGGTCTTTCATAAATTTCTGGTCATAGGCAAACGAGAAATTTCATCCGCCCCAGCTCATATCCTCAAGCATAACATTACCTGTTTTTTAGCTTAGACTCGTTATTAAGGCCATAATAATAATAATAATAACTGAACCGTTTTTAAGTAACGATAATTTTATTATTTATTACCGTAAATTCATTCGAATTTATCTTGATAGCGTTATTAGCCTTTCCATTACGTTCGTGTGTGCTTAATGATTCGTGTCCGTCATAGCCTAGATAAGAGTAGGCCGCTCCGAGGAATGGTCACCACACCATATGGGGTAGCCCGTTCTCAGGGTATCTCGCGCGGCTTCCTGCGTAGCGTTAACTAGCAATTTCTAATTTTAACTGTTGGCCAGTGGGAGCCTTAGCAGTATCGTAAATCCCATCAGTAAACTGGAAGCGGGGAGCACAAAAGCTTAGTTTCGTCTTACCGGCCTGCACATGTATCGACACGGCAACGAGATATATTACCGCATTTAGTATCATCAGGGCATATCGACTATCTTCACTAGAAGTATCACAGCATCAAAAGAAAAAAAATTAAAAGCAAGAGGTGAAGGAAACCGAATTAGATTAAGGAGAAAGTGTCGCTATTGGCTTCGTCGGGTCTTGCCTTTAACTTTTAAAAGCTTTTCGTATCCAGCCTTTGTCCGTGTGTTCAGTCGGCCAGCTACAGTTGTTAATCTTAATAACAAAGTGTTACACTTATAACGGCGTCAACGTCCCGATCGGGTTCACTTCTGGGCTCCTATCAGTGCCATACGGTACGAAAACTACACAAGGCACGACAGCACCATTGTTCCTAGTTTCCTGATCTGTCTTTATAATTACAGAGTGAAAATTGGCTGAGGAACTTGACGGAGCGTTTTTGTCGCGTTTGAACACGCGAGGCGCGATTCGTGCTATTCCAATGGGTTATCATCGACCGATTGCATAGTGCTCTCAATTACCTTAGTTCCGTCTTCCTATTATTATACTGCCCGACACTTATGTATACGTTTAATTTTCACGAAGCATGTGGCTGATCGGCCAGGCTCGTAGCCATAGACGCCGGTTAGCGATTTAGTATCTTCACTAGGGAGTATCTCTCGTCGAAGAGCTATCGCCGCATCGATCTTTACTACCACTAGTTTAATCATTAAAACTACGATACAACATAACACACGGCTCAACGCAAACGATTGAAGACTGGATCGTTTTCGAAATACGGTCATGTCGCACTCATAAATCTCAAGAGAAGCTACTTCCTATATATTGAACTAAGTAAAAGTTTGCCTATAACTTCTCTTGAAGGTGCGACAACATTACGATTTTTCACACATACTTTACGTACGTGTCACATACTTTACCATATACAGACATACAAAATAATACCTTTAGATGTTTATAATCATCTGGAAAATATCTTACTCTAAAATTGATTATATTTTGGAAAAAGCGGTTTCGCCCATGGACTCGAACTATCCACTGCGGAGGCCAGTTAATAACTTTAGAAACTTAGTTTCTGGTGTTTTGTCCAACATTGTTTCGAAAATAGAAATTACTTTTAGCTTGCCGATGCGGAATAATCGCAACGGGGAAGCAGTGGCATAGGTGGCGGCTTACTCACAGCATATGGTAAGCCGCCATGGTTTACATATGGTGGTAACATGTAGCACATTCCCTACAGGGTCATAAGTGTCGAGTCTTAGTAGAGTAATATATCGTTGAATTTTCAGCGCGTAGCAGTGGGATAACACAACAAAGTAAGGAAACTCGGATAATTCGAAAAATACAATGGGCCAACAAGGATAACTGCAATGAAACACATTGCGACAGAATTTTAGAACAGTTGAAATAAACCTGGGGCTCGAGCCAAATGGGTCAGATCAGATTCGGCCAAGAAACAAGGCATCTCGTCTGTATGCGTGTGCGTCGGCCTACCCACAATGCGCGCCACAAGTATACCGGTAAAAGCGAGCCGCAGCAGCTATTTCGCCAATATGTAAATAAAACGAAAAAAGAAAACAAAATAATATAATAATAAACACGACATAGATTTCTACAGTGCAGCACCACCGCACCTATTCCTACCCGTTATAGTTACAAACAATAGTTCTTCAAAGGGTAAACTTTTCGCATCATTAGAGAACATTTAAAGGCGTTAACTTATACTTAAACTAGCAGAAACAATAAAGCACGTTTCTGCTTTTACTAAAAGCAACGACGCCAATATCAAAGTTAGTTCCGAGCTATACAAAAGGAGAACTTGTATAACACATGTTCGTAACGAATCAAGTTACTACAAGCCGTACGCAAAGTCCTAGCAGTTGTCCGGTCGTCTTTAGCTGCAAAGCCATTTGACCGCGGCCCAGGTGAGGCCTATCGAAGAAGAAGAAATGAAGTGAGCCCTGTACCGACCGAAGGCTGGTATTGCGACAGTGTATACAAAACTGCTGGCGGGTATTTAACGGCTAGCTACTGCAAAGAGGCCAGGCAGCCGTTGTTTTCGTCAGGTCCTTCCGTCAAATTACTGGCGCAGTCGGTCATCGGCCTGATCATCGTCGAGGATTTAACAACAGTCTGGGAAGATGACGTCGCCGCCATCAACACGTGTTGACGTAGCGACAACAGCCGTATAGAAGTCAATTGAGGCTTGCTGAGATGACTGACTCGGTCCTTTTTTCGTTCACCCATGCCCCGTTGTTCGTACGTCAAATAGAGTATTGGTCCCAGAAAGCCAATGCGGCGTGACACAGTAAACCAAGCAGGGTTATGTAGTCGAAAACGAAGACAAACACGTTTGGGAACATCTTATCGTCACTTGATATCCTTGTCAAATATTTCAATTTACCGGATATTGCCATAAAATAAATATATATATATATATATATATATATATATATATATATATATAAGACGAAATAGGACAGTGACGAGTTACGTTATATTACGTTGTTAGCATGGTTATACCTTAGCTTCCGGTATAAGTTTTCCGCTTCTATTGTTTCGTTACTAATGCAAAATATCCATCGTAATATAAGGTATCACATACGTAGAATAGCGTGTTCGAGTGTCGATTTGTTTTGGCACGTTGGCTCGTCTGCTTCTGCTCGATACGCGCGAAAAATTGTTTAGGATTCAGTCTTGGTTGGAAATGGGTCGATCGAGAAGGAAATCCAAAAAAGTTTTTTTTTTTTCATTCTTTCTTTTCGTTCTTGTTTCACGATATGCTGAAAATAGATAGCTCTCGAGCTTTTCAGCTATTGCTATTTTCCATACCCGCTTATGACAAAGTTTACCGTCAATGAGGTATGCCCTGCGTACCCGCTCAGCGTATTGCTCACTTGCCAGTTCGCGTGACTCGTTCCTTCTATGGGACAGCATATAAAGAACAATTTAACACTAATATTATTAAGCGACGGATACCGCCGGTTAACCGTTCAGATAGCTTTTGCTCGTCGCTATGAAATTCTATTCTGGGCGCCGGCTGTCTAAGCGCATTATGCTACCTCCACTTCTGGTAAGAGGAAAAGGAATAGGCTTTTTAAACCGATAAAACAGAACTTTTCCCCGTTTGTCTCGAACTAAACGAACGTATCTGTCTTGTGTTTAACGGCAAAATTCGATTAAATTCCCTCATCGACGTTTTTTATTTTCTTTCCGCTCTCTTTCTTTCGACACTGCCGCTCTTATGAAAATTATGTTTAACGAATGATTTGCAAGAACTCGTTCGGTACAACTGATTGCTGGTTTCTCCGTCGGTTTTCGACTTCACGTTACGTCGTGCAGTACATACATCTATTTTTCGAC